GAGGGTGAGGTCATTGGGAGCCTCATTTAATGTGTAGCATCTCTCCAAACCCTCCAGTTCCTCTTGCCTCCCCTTCCTGGCTGTCAGCAGAGATCCCTGCCCATCGGTCTCTGTTATCTAAAATCAACATCTGCAAGTTTGACTTAGGTAAATAATTGCCATTGGGAAAGCAGGAGTATTTCTAATTTGGAATCAGATCCAAGCCACCTCTTGCTGCATACCTCCCATGACAGAGCTTACTATCTCTCAAGGCAATTCATTGCATTGTTAGATAACATCTATTTTTAGAAAGTTCTTCCTTACCTTGAGCTGAAAGCTGTATTCTTTGGCAGTTCAGGGTGCATATTCTTCAGTTAGATCAGTGGTTCTCAACTAAGGATCATCTTGCCCCCCACTAGCTATCTGGCAAGTTATAGAGATATTTTTGGTTGTCACTGGGAATGGGGGGAGGGTGCTACTGACATCTAGTAAGTAGAGGCCAAGGATGCTGCAAAACATCCAACAATGCACAGGACAGCCCTTCACAATTAAGAGTTATCCAGCTCAGAATGTCCATAGAACAAAGGTTGAGAAACTCTGTTAGATAGACCCAGGTTTGAATCTCGTCTTCACCAACTGCTGCCTACCTGTGTGACCTGGGGCAAGTTGCTTCACCCCTCTGAGCCTGAGCTGAACATTTCCTCCTTTCTACCTGGGGGATCAATCGGAAGACCTCCCTTTTGGCTTGTGGTGGGCGTTTAACAATGGACACAGGTTTCCCCCAATATATGAAAGCTCTTTTTACGCCACTTCACTTTTATGAAAGACCTACATTAGTACCTGTTTTCGCTAACCGAAAGAAATCTGAAGAGGATTTTCATTTTTATGGAAAAAGGTGAAAAGCAAAAATAGTGTTCAGCATTCGTTCTGCAGAGAGCTGTTATAGAGGCAGCTCACATCCAGAGCAGCGAGTGGCGCCGCCAAGCGCCTTCCCTGGGAACTACACTCAGCCTCTCAGCATCAAGCCACCGTAGTCTTGGGCTGTGTCTGTGGGCATCTGGGCTTTACCTCCATTTATTTTGATAGGTTGTTTTTTGGGTCTGGGAAGGCTCAAAATTTTTTCCCATATAGATTAATGGTAATCACTTCTTTGCTTTACGCCATTTTGGCTTAGGAAAGTTTTCATAGGAACACTGTACTTCCGGATAGTGGGGAACCTGCCTATGAAAAGCCCCAGGCTCAGCTCATTCCTGTCGTGGCTGCTCCAGTCACGGTCCTGGGATGTGGAAGGAACGTTGACTACCTTCGTTTATTTGCTGGCACAGGGACGTGACTGGATTAGACTGCTCGTTGTCAGTCTAGTAAAAGTCCCACTGCAGCTCATGGTTTTGGGATTGGAGCCATTGCCTTAATTCAAAAATGATGGCTTGCTCGTACACATGAGCCTCTTAGAGAAAAAGAGTCCATTTCTGCTTGTCACCAAGTCATTGTCACCTGGGGGTTAGCAGAGCTTTCTCACCCCACTGTCTCAACTGACCCTCCCCACAGCCCAGGGAGGGAGGTAATCATATTTTCCCTACTTTACAGGTGAGGAAATTGGAGGCCCGGCTGTTTACCCACTCTCCACACAGCCCAGCAAGAGGCAGAGCCAGGTGAGAACTCTCCTTCCATCCCTGCTTCTCTAGAGACACGGTGCTGGAAAGAGCCCCCAGGGGCCCGCCTTTCTTCTCCAAGTGCCCTGTCTCAAGTCCTCCTCCAGCTTCCTTTCCCTCCTCCCAGAGCACACCCTCTCGCCAGCACCATCTCTGTAGGCCCCAGTGAGGTCTGAGCAGCCTGAGGGGAGCATGACCTTCTGTGTAACGTGAGGTGACATGAGGACCCGTGTCCCCAGATGCCTCCCACATTCTGCAGAGCACCTGACGTTCCTTTGGCGTGTAAAGAGGGCAAACCATTCATAGATCTGTTTTTCAAAATGCAGGTCCCTGGGGAGGGGACAGCACCTTACATTAGTCATCTCACTGAGTTAGCCAACGGAGGGATTAGGTGGGAGGAGGAGAGACCAGGAAGGGCATACTGGGCCTGTGACCCTGCAGCCACACAGGCCCTGTGCTCAGGAGGGCCCCGCGCTTGGTTTAATGTTCCACTGTCACCATCTTGAAATTCTTAATAGTTTAAAATTTTTTCATTTTGTGCGGGGCCCCACAAGTTATGCAGCCGGTCCCGAGTGGGACATGAAGTAGATGCTTTTGTGGCTGCTGCTACTGCCCTGTGTGGCCCGCGTCGTCCGGGCTCAGGGCTGGGTTGCAGCGTTCTCTCAGGCCTCCTTCTTCCCCGGGAGGCAGGCGCCAAGTGCCGTGTGTAGGCAGCACAGGTGCTGTGGTGCCTTTCCAGGAATCCTTCTTCTGAATCCTGTGGCTTCTGAGGACAAAAGTGGATTTTCTTGCTCCCGAAGCAGATCACTGAGCTGAAAAGGAACCTTTCACAGCGAATCTCTGTTGAATGAGTAAGGTCTGAGCTGAGATATTTCAGAGCACCCTCAGTTGTGTCTCTCACTCACTCATTTATTCGTTTAACAAATATCTATTGGCCTTTTGCTTTAGTCTTTACACAAAATAACATGTTCAAGCTACAAAGGAGAAAACGTGATAAAGAATTGAGCTTATGGTGATAGGTGAGGAAGATAAACAGGCTATCTTAATTTTCCCCAACATTTTCTTACAGAAATTATCAATAAAACAGAAAAGTTGGAAGCCTTGTACAGTGAATACCCATATACCCACCATCTAGGTTATCAATCAACATTTTGCTCTTTTTGCTTTACTATATATCTATTCATTTATCCATTCTTCTATCCAACTTATTTTTTGATTCATTTCAAAGTAAGTTACAGACATCAGTAGATTTCACTCCTAAACACTTAATATGCCAAACTAATTTTCAGTTCAGTGATCTCAGTTCAACCATAACAACTTTTCTTTTTTAACCAAAGAGGAAAAATATATAGATTTTTTAATAAAAACAAATAATTTTCTGTCAACTATAATTGTGGAATGATAAATTGTATATGCACAGTGAAAAAAGAAATTATTGATTCCCCTCTGTGTGCCATGAGGCAAAGAGAGAAAGGAGAAAGGAGAGGAAGGAGAAAAGAGAGAAATTTCAAGGCAATGAAGAAAAGAGAGAAAGGAGACACTTCTTTCGGAGAGGGAGGTTGAATCTGCCTTGAGAATGCCAAGCCATGGGCGTGTTTTAGGGACCTGCTTCCTCCCAACCAAAACAATAAAACATAAAAATCCCTGAGGTGATACTTCCTTAGCTTTCTTTGCTCCTTCCTGAGGTAACTGCGGACAATTTCAAGGGGTTCTGGCTTGGTCAGGGCTGAAGATGAAGCTGCAAGGTATTGGGTATTGGATGTAGGAGTGGAGAAAGATACAGGCTGAGGCTGTCGATTTGGGGGTTGTCCTCACAGAGGTGATGGCTGGGGTGGACTGGGGTGAGTGGATAAGGCCCCTGAGACTGACAGCAGAGAGTGACAGGAGCCAAGGGCAGGACTGGGTCACAGGAGGAGAAGTCAGCAGAGGCCCACTCAGAGAAGTCGGAGGGTTGCTCTGACTGGCAGTTCAGAGCTGGAGGAGAACAAGGAAAAATACCTAAAGTGAGACTCTAAAAAGGAGACCTCGGAAAGACTGTAGAGATCACCTACCCCACCTTTCACCTTTGACCCATGCGAAAACGCAGGTGGAGAGATCACTCAGAAAATTAGTGGCAGAGCTGGGGCTAAACCAGTGCTACCCAATTGGTGCTTTTCCAACAAACTGCCTCAGAGGGTTCCTTCCTCAGGGACCAAATGCCATCGGGTCTTGATTTTTATCTTAAAAAAATCATATGAATTTGACCTTCTACTCAAGAATTTATCTGGCTTTGTCTTAATGTAAAAATAATTTGTTTTTGCTAAATTATTGAGAGAGATTTACACTCTCTGTTAGTGTTTCTCAGTTTTCTTTAAATTCATACCACTTTTTGATGAGTATCAAAATCTAACAACTCCTTTTGGAAGCTTTAATACCTACTTCTATCTCCCACCCCAGTTGAGGATACAATCTCTTTTCAGTGTACCCTCACTAGCAAAGAAAGTTTTGTTACGTATTACTTTGCATAGTTTATGTAATGAAAAAAAATTTTTTTTCAAATATAAAAGTAAAATAATAAATATGCTTTCTCAAATAACACAACCCCCTTCCCATTTGAGAACCATTCATCTAAGCGATATGCTAGATTTATCTCAAGCTTTGTGTACCCTGGTAACCTCCCTTATATCAGTTAGGGGTGCTTTCAGCTGCAAGTAAAAACTCCCACAACAGTGACTTAAGCAAAGAAGATACTTCATTATTTCCCATAATAACCAGTCTGGGGGAAGAAGATTCCATGGTTGGTTCAGCATCTCAGTGATAACAGGGCTCCGGGGTGGCATCTCAGTGGTTTTCTTGTCATTTCCCTGATGGCCCCAATGTGACTGCCATAGCCCCAAGCATCACTTCCTGTCAGGAAGAAGGGGGCAAGTGGGAAACAACCCTTTTCCTTGTTTTGCTCATTTGTTATAGAGAAGGAACTTTCCAGAACCCCACCTCGGCCATGAGGTTTCTCTATCTACTTTCTTGGCCACAGTTGTGTCTCATGCCCACTCCTAGGCTAGCCAGTGGCAAAGAGGAACTAGAGCACCATATTCAGCTTAGACCAATCATGATGCAGCCCACTTTCCCAGAACACGCACAATGTGGGACTTATACAAACTTTCCCTTGTTTTTTGCCCATCTCCCTCACGAGAATGTAAGCTCTATGGCGGCAGAGATGTTTGTCTGTTTTGTTCATTGCTGTATTCCTAACACCTAGAACAATGCCAGAAGTTCAATAGTCATTGAATGAATGAGGGAATGAATGACTAAGGAAGAAGGGAATATAAGTTGTAGGTAACCAGCAGTGTCTACTGCCCCTGACAGATACAACCCCAGTTTGATCAATGTGATGGTTCTAAGTGACTCTACTGATCACCAAGGCTCTGACCTTAATCCTTGTGTCTTTTCTCCCAGGGAATGAGACATAGCCATAGGCTACTCTTCTGCCAATGACCCTTCTCAATTCCTCCTACGTCTTAGAAGATAAGATGTGTGAGGGGAACAAGACCACCATGGCCAGCCCCCAACTGATGCCCCTGGTGGTGGTTCTGAGCACCATCTCCTTGGTCACAGTGGGGCTCAACCTGCTGGTCCTGTATGCTGTGCGGAGCGAGCGGAAGCTACACACTGTGGGGAACCTGTATATTGTCAGTCTCTCGGTGGCAGACCTGATTGTGGGAGCTGTTGTCATGCCCATGAACATCCTCTACCTCCTCATGTCCAAGTGGCCCTTGGGCCGGCCTCTCTGCCTCTTTTGGCTTTCCATGGACTACGTGGCCAGCACAGCATCCATTTTCAGTGTTTTCATCTTGTGCATTGATCGCTATCGCTCAGTCCAGCAGCCCCTCAGATACCTGAAGTATCGTACCAAGACCCGAGCGTCAGCCACCATCTTGGGGGCCTGGTTTCTGTCCTTCCTGTGGGTTATTCCCATTTGGGGCTGGTCTCGCTTCGTGTCGCAGACCTTGAGGCGCCAGGAGGACAAGTGCGAGACAGACTTCTATGATGTCACCTGGTTCAAGATTATGACCGCCATCATCAACTTCTACCTGCCCACCTTGCTCATGCTGTGGTTCTATGCCAAGATCTACAAGGCCGTACGGCAGCACTGTCAGCACCGAGATCTCATCAACGGATCCCTCCCTTCCTTCTCGGAAATTAAGCTGAGGCCAGAGAATCCCAAGGTGGGTGCTAAGAAATCAGGGAAGGAGTCTCCCTGGGCGGTTCTGAAAAGGAAGCCAAAAGATGCCGGTGGTGGACCTGTCTTGAAGCTGCCATCTGAAGACCCAAAGGAGATGAAGTCCCCAGGTGACTCCAGCCAAGAGGAGGACGGAGACGTGGACAACCTCCACTGCTTCCCACGTAACATTGCGCAGATGCAGACTGAGGCAGAGGGGAGTGGCAGGGGCTACGCAGCCATCAACCAGAGCCACAGCCAGCTTGAGATGGATGAGCAGGGCCTGAACATGCGTGGGGCCAATGAGATGCCAGAGGATCAGATCCTAGGTGATAGCCCATCCTTCTCCCAGACAGACTCAGACACCCCCACAGAGCCAGCATCGGGGAAAGGCAAACCAAGACGTGGGTCCAGCACAGGCCTGGATTACATCAAGTTCACTTGGAAGAGGCTCCGCTCACATTCGAGACAGTATGTGTCTGGGCTGCACATGAACCGAGAACGGAAGGCTGCCAGACAATTGGGTTTTATCATGGTGGCCTTCATCCTTTGCTGGATTCCCTACTTCATCTTCTTCATGGTCATTGCCTTCTGCAAGAGCTGTTGCAACGAGCACGTGCACATGTTCACCATCTGGCTGGGCTACATTAACTCCACATTGAACCCCCTCATCTACCCCTTGTGCAATGAGAACTTCAAGAAGACATTCAAGAAAATTCTGCACATTCGCTCCTAAGGGAGGCTACAAGGGGATGCGACAAAGTGACACTTAGGATGTCCCTGAAGGAAATAGAGGATGAAGGCCTGTGAGTTGCTAGGTACCTTGGCTTTCTGGGGTCAAAAGAATAGTCTTAGGGTCCAAGTAGTTTGGAAAGTTCTTAGGCACCATTGGAAGAAGAGCATATGGCCGTGGTCAGCAGAGTAGAAAGCAGAATATTTCCAAGAGAACTGAATCTAGATAATTTCTCCTACTCCTCAGGAAATGTGGGAGCCTCAGACTCTCATTGTAATTCAAGCTTTCAGACTAGAATTAATTGGCAACTAAAGGGACATGTGGGTAGAGTTCCATTGGAGAATTAGATGGAACTCGGGAGCCTTCCTGGAATGGAGATATATGACTGTGCAGAGACCTTACATGCAGACAAATGCTGGCCCTTCCATGGGTCACCTTGAGAGGCATGACAGCTATTCCACTGTGACTGCCACTTCTCGGAACACCTCTCTTCTGAGCCCTTTTTACAGCTTTCTCCAGAACCAGTGTCTGAAACACCCTGGACATTCTGCCTTATTATTTAACACTCACACATGTCTTAGAGTCGATAGGAAATTATGCAGCTTGTATATCCATCATTTTCAACCCCAAATTCCTTTTGGCTATTAAAAAATAATGATAAAAACTGCCCTGAAAAGAAAGAGAAAAGGAATATTTTTAATGGTTGCACATTAAAAATAAAAAAAAAGAAAATGGGGAGGAGAAAGCCATATTTCTTGAGGGCTGTGCCAGGTTTATCTCACTTAAGCCCCATGACACCCCACAACAAGAAGGTGGTGTTACTAGAGGAGCAGATTGAGGCACAGAAAGGTGAAATAAGGTGCCAAAGATCACGCAGCTAGTTATGTGAGACAGCTAGAAGGAAAACCCTGTGGGGTTCCAGGTCATTGTGACACATTTCCTCCAAAAGGCAAAAATTTGTCCTATTAAGTGTACACACACACACACACACACACACACACACACAGTGTTCCTGAGAGTGGTAGCAATTCTCAAAAGAATATGTTGGGAGCAGAAATGGCTGACATCGAATATGTCTGTGGCCACAGAAGGGGATACTTTGAAGGGAGAGCGTGTATTTTTATCTGTGAGTTCTGCTGTTTATAAAAAGTCATGTTCTTTTATAGTCACACCTCTTAAGTAAAAACTAGCAAAGGCATGAGAACATACAGTTTTACTTGGTGTTTGTGTTGCAATCTGATTGTGATTTGTATTTTAAAACTTGATACTAAACTGTAATATATGTAGCAAATGGGAGTGCCTGTACAAGCTGGTGTTTTGTGTCTTGTGTTCCTGTTTGCATGATCTCTTAAAATGAGAGATTTTTACCTACCTAAAATATGATTTGAAACTATACTGTTACGAGTTTGATTTATTTAATTCTACCTTTCTGAGTCTCTTGGACTGAGAAGATGTATTGAAGTGTACTGTCATTTGTAATGTATTGTCAAATGTCACGTTACAAGATTTGATATAGGGTTTCTCTTTGGTTTCTGGTCACATTTGTAAATGTTTTTAGAAAAGGACTTACTTTTTTAACAAGCTTTGCTCTCACTCTACTTTGCATCCCCAAAGTTCTTCCTGCTCAGAACTGGGGGATCTAAGGAGGTGTTTATCCTGGTTTTACAAGCAGCAGCTGGTGTGTTTCCTGGTCAGAAACCCTTTCCCAAAAGACCTGTAACAGTGTTGCGTCCTGGGATCCCTCAGGACCAAGGAACACTCAAAAAGACCACCCCACCAGACAAATGGCCAAGTGCCCATGATTTATGTTGATGAACAGTTGGGGCAACTAGTGAAGAGAAGTGGCTATGAGCTCTGACTTTGGTCAGAGACCTGGATTTGAGTCTGACAAAAACAAGAAACTGTCAATATAAATTGTCAGAGCATAAAGAACAAGGTCCATGCATTACTGTATACAGTGTTTACAGTGCTTTCAGAGTGTCTGGTACACAGTGGGGACTCACATGTAGTTTTCAAACATACTGAGCATATACCATGTGCCAGGCTTCGTGCTTTACCACCATTATCTAATTTAACCTCTACAACAACCTCATGAGGAAGATTGCTGTGTTGTTACAAACAGGCAAATGGAAGCACAGAGAGGTTAAGGACTGGCTCCAAAATCTGATTCTGGAATACATTTCTTTTCCACAGTATCTACCTGCTCTTCCTACTCCTACATGATTGATTGAATTAATTCTTGAATTTATAAAAGGCAATAGACCATGGTCCAGAAATAACTCAGCCTCAGCCCATTCAGGAAAGAATCAGTGGCCAATGGCTTGCACAAAATCTAGCTGAAACCAGGCTCTCTGCCCGAAATATTAAAATAAATACCTTTTAGGAGAAGGCTGTCATAGAAACCTTGATTGTAGATAAGAACTTGCAGACTCAGAAGCTCCTTCGAGTTTCTTTTTATGGGCTTAAAGTTAATTAGCTTAAAGCCAATTCCTCGAATGACCAATTTGCCAAATTTATCAAATGTTGGCATCTTTTTAACTATTTACAAGGTTTACAATGACACATATTGGATGAGGCTTTTAAGAACAGTTTTCTACAATTGTTGTGAAGTTATAGCAACTGATTTTCGTTTTTCTTCATAGCCACATATTGAGGAAGGTCAATTTGTCTTTGTCCCCAGCTTGCTGCTACTGCAGGGAGAGACTGAGTTGTAGACAGGGGAGAAATAGAGGTGAAGAGACTGAGGATGAGAGAAGGAAGGATAAGGGGTAGAAAGAAGAGGAAACTAGGGCAGGTGGGGGGAGACAGAGGGTCAGAGATGATGGACTAGGAGGAAGAGATGGGGTCACCAAAGGACAGAAGAGGGAGAGGGCAAAATGGATGTGCACAAGGACAGAGATGGGGAAATACTAAGGGGCAGATGGACACTAAGAGCCAGAGAGATGGAGACATTTAGTGAGAGAAAAAGGGAGACACTGAGAGGGAGACATAGGGAGAAACTGAGGAATGAGAAGGAAGATAGAAAAGTAGAAGTGGAGAGTCAGAGACAAAAAGATAATAGACCGAGTGGCATAATATTAATACACTTAAGAAAAATCTACATTCAAGAACATATTTTTCATTAATGTAGTCATAAGTTAAATATATTCAAAGGAAGAATAAACCATCCTTAGCTTTTGATAAATAGAAAATTCTTTCAAATGCTTCTCTGAAGATGACGTGAAAACCAGTCAACTACTGCATCACATAAATCTTTAGAAGCTCATGAAGCCATTCCATCCAATAGAAATTGTTGTAAACCTTAGAAGTTGGTGACATTTGCAAAGTGTTCATTCAGAAAATCTACAAGTCTGCAGGTTGGCCATTTGATGAAGTGGTCATTTGGCTACTTGGCTTGCAGAAAATTGTTGATCTCTCTTTTGAAGAAGAGCCCTCCAGGAGGTAGATTTAATAGTCTTAACACAAGGTGAAAAAGATGCTGGGGCTCTCCTGGCTGCAACACACTCTAAGTGCTGTAAAGAACCAACGCTGTTAAGATCTCATTTGCCAACCTGTCATTCCACGATTTCTTGGGCTTTCAAAGCGTAGGTGGCATGGCATATGGTTCCCATTGTAGGGAGTCTGTGCTCTCCTCAACTGAGCTGCAAGACAAGTGATAAAAGTGGGTTGACCTGAATCATTGTGGTCTTGAATAAGTGTCAAGGCCCTCGTTGTCCTGCTGCGTCTGAGAACATTCTCTGCCTTTTTATGGCTCCTGGTCTTGCATCTTTCTTGATGCTTCATCATCTTGGTGCCCCAAGGGTCTGTATCCCCCATCCTGGGCAGCAGGGGCAGGTCTTCTGCTCCAAGCCTCCCTAATTCCTGCTAACAAGGAGGCCACATTTGTGACCTGAGTCACCATCTATTTTGGCTGCCCAGACCTCATCTCTTAATTTAACAGATACTTTTTGAACACTTCTTGGGCCAATTCTTGAGCCAGGCACTAGGAGACCATGGAGAACAAGATGACATGGTTTCAACCCTATGGAGCTACTTCAGGGTTGGAAGTGATGGAAACCAGCTTTGCGAATGGCTGCTGGGGTGTTTTGTGAAATCCAATAACGTTTTAGATGACCTCACCTCAGGAAGAGCTTGAGCCAAGTCAGCCACAGGAACCTCAACGGTCAGAATTTGAGGAAGTTCCCTATAGAATATTGCCATTGACCAATATGAATTATTCCTGTTCCTATTTTCTATGAGCATCAGTTCTCAAGTCCAAAGCTCAGGGTAAAGAATCATCCTGTGTCCATTTCTGCTGCAGTCAACTCTGAAGAGAGGTGGGAGGCCAGGTGGCACATGTAGGAGAACCAGCAGTTCCCAGAGAAGGGGGAATCCTTGTGAGCTCGGCAGAGTGAGCTCGGCAGAAACTCCACAAGGTATTAAATTAAGGATCTCGAAGTGCAGCAGGGGAAACAAGGTTAAAAAGAACTAACTTCAACCTAGCCTCATATAACCTTAATAGAGTGAAGCCTGGAGGTAGGTGGGTGTCAGGCATGCCTTCACATAGGAGGTGACCCCTCTACTGGGTTTTTTAAAAATCAAATTTATTACATTAAATATATACAGTAAAATGCACTCATTTTAAATATAGAGTTTGATGAGTTTTGACAAATGTGTACAAATGTCATCCCCATCTCAATCACGATATAGAACGTTTCCATCACGCCAGAAAGTTCCTCATGTCCCTTTGCAGACAATGCTCCCTTTATGCCTCAGGCAACCACTGATCTGACTTCTATCACTATGTTAGTTTTGCTGATTCTAGAACTTTACATAAGTGGAATCATATAATATGTACTCTTTTTTCTATCAACATTTCAACTGGATTTTGAAGATGGGGAAAGGGTTACACAAGCAGAGGAAGGGTGAGGGTAGCAGAGATGGAGCAGGCATACCACCCCTCCTGAGAACAGGCTGGCCTCAAAGTAAAACATCCTATGATTTACTACTGTCCAATCAAGCCACCCTTTCTTCTCACTTTCCCACCCGAGTTCTTTCTTGCCTTCACTCTTCCCTACGGAAGAAAAACTCTTTTTGCCTAACCCTGGAAACACTTGCAGATCTTTTGGTCAGAGTGGTCTCCCTATTGCAAGATTCCCTCCCCCACCCATTGCAATAGTCCCCGCCCTCTCCTTCCCCACTGCTTATAATAATCCTTTCGAATAAAGTATCTCCTCAGTAAGTCAAACAGGCTTCTGTTAGACTCCTGGCCCAAAAGCTCTTTAACCTTCAGCAAGCCCCTTAACCTTTCCTAGTCTCCGCTCTTTCATATGTAAAATGGGAATAATATAACATCTACCTTGCAGGCCCTTTGTGGCGATTACAGATGTGAAAACCTGAAAACATTGTAGATAATAAATAGTAGTCACTACTCTCGTTATTGTAAGTCTATAGAGCTACGTCAGAGGCGCTTTGTGAATGGCCTTATATGTCAGATTAAGTTTACACTCACTATTGTATCAACACTTCTCCAATGCCTGGTACAGAGTATACGCTCAATAAATAATTTAGAATGAATAACTTTATCTCATTGACAGCAGGAAGCTATGAGAATAATGTCTGGTTTAGAAAGAGCAAGTCGGTCAGTGTCGACTTTCATCGACCTTTACCTATTAAAATTCTCATCTCCTGTGTCTCCATACCTGCCTTCCTCGTGGTCCCCGTGATTCGTTTGATACTGCCTCTCCTGGAAAATGGAAATAATGATAATTCCTGTCATCCTCTAAAATCAAAAGAAAGAACGTGGAGCACTTTTTGAAAAGTCTCACAGCCACATATACACAATCCCACATCTGATAAACGGGAGAAAGTCTCTGTGCCTCGGCTTGCTCCAGGGGGTCCTCGCCCACCTCCTGATGTCCCGCCTTCCCCACGCCTCAAGTTCCGCCCCCTCAGCCTGGTGCTAGGGGCTCCTTTACCAGGCTGGCCCGAGGCTCTGTGTGCGCACGCGCACCGTCCTCTCGCCCCGGCAGGCGGGGGGCGGGGCCGCGTTGCGTCATCGGGGCGCGCGCTGCGGCTGACGGTGTGGTTGCCGGAAGTTGAGCGGCGGTAAGTGAGCCGCAGCGGTGAGGGAGGCGCGGGTTGCTTCAGTGTGGCTTTTGGAGGCCTGGCGGGAAAAGGCGAGCTCGGCGATGAGGGCGAGGGTCGCGGCGGGTCTCAGGATCCTCCTCTGCCCGTGCCTGGGCTGTCTCTCTCCAGGGAGTCGCTGACTGCGGCTCTCGCCCTCGTCCAGTCACGTTCCCTCAGACTGGTTCAGCCGGGGTGCTCGGACTAGGACGCTGCTGTCCTGTCTCTGGTGGGGAGTGCCCCGAATCTCCGTTGTTGGAGCCCGGGAGACAGACGCCTGGGTTCTGGTCCTGGCTTTGCCTGCCACGGTCTGCTGTGTGGCTGTGGCGCATCCCTCCCCTGGCTGAGCCTCTCTTCCCTCATCTGTGATGTGGGAGTGATAACACGTCATTGGTGAGGCGAAGAGGTTCAGTTAAGGCAGCTCGAAGGGCTTTTCTGATCCAAGGTGCTCGATTTCTTGGTTTGGTCCGGATGCTACAGACTTGAATGCTTGATCAGTCAGGTTAGGTAAATGTGGGTGTAAGAAAATTTTATGTCAGTCAAACTTATTTTTACTGAGTTGAGTTTTATGAGCGCAATACTAACATATTGAAGAAATGAACCCAGAACTCCAGTGTGTGTGTGTGTGCGTGCGGGCACGTGCAGTCCCTTGATTTTTAAACACTAATGACTAATGATTTTTTAAAAAGCATTGGCAAGTGATAGAAAACATTTTTTTAAATTGCACCTGAAACCAGGCGTATCTGTGGCTGCTAGTTTGGGGCCTCTGGATCCCAGGCTCCCTTTCCCACTGAATACTTGGATTTCTTTTGTGGCACCCCCGCTCACTGGTTAAATTTCTTCAGTGACAGAAAGCTCACTACTTTTGGCCTTACTCCTGTTTGGTCTGCCCCCAGCTCTGACTCATAACAAGTCATATGTAGAGCTGAAAGTGGTTCCCTAGTGATCTCAGCTGGTTGTCCCTCTTTCAGGCTCTTGGGCTCTCCCTTCACGGAATTGCCCCGCACATCTTTGAAAGCTGCTGGTTTGTCTTCCTCTTCTCACCTTTTCTTTTCCAAGCTAAGCATATTTAATTTATTTAGCCACAGTAAACTCCACATAACTGAGAATTTTGACTTGTTTTATTTGTAGTTGTATCCCTGGCGTATAGAACAGTGCTTGACATATATGCTCAGTAAATATTTGCTGAATGAGTGAATAAAACAAATATTTGAGTGCCTGTTATGTGCCGGGCATTATTGTAAGCACCAGTGATGTAGTGGTAAAATAAGGCAAAAAAACAGCCCTGTTTCATGGACCCTACTTTTGATGGTAGTGGTGGCGACTGTTGTGATCGTCAATAAATACGATACTTTTAATGGTTGGCAGGTGTTTCAGATCCTGATGGATGCTACGAAAAAAAGAAATGGTAACAGGGTGGAGAGTAACTGAGGGGAAGCAGAGGGAGCTCTTTTTAAAGCTAGCTGATCAGGGATGACTTCTCTGAGGAGGTGACGTTTGATCTAACACCGGAATGAAGAAAAAGCCATACTTGTGAAGGCTCATCTTGCCTAATTGTTCCCCCATCCCCCACCTCTGTGCTCTGGTCTTGTTAAACTGCCTACAGGCTGTGTCTCACCTACAGTCCTTTGTTTCTGCTGCCTAGAACATCTCCCTTCCCCCTCCTTTTTTCTTGGCCAGCTCCTCCCTGCCCCTCATGTGACATGGTTTAGAAACCCTTTAAAGAGCTGAGAACTGGGCTTGCATTCAACCACAAGGTCCCTTTTTTCTTCCCAGCCAGCTTCTCGTAATAGAGAATAAGCATAAATATTTATTGAGCTTCTGCTCTGTGCCTGGCACTGCTCTGCAAGTGGAAACACGAAAGTGAGTAAGATACACATCCATGTCCTCAAGGAGTTTACTTTTTTTTAAGTCAAGGAGGTAGACAACAGCACTATGGTATGAAGCTGTTGTTGAAGTTTGCTGGAGAAGGACTTAGCATGCTCAGGCTAAGTCAGGCTGAGGCATCAGAGAAGGCTTCTGTGAGGAGATGTTGCTTTATCCAAGTCCTAAAGGATGAGCAGGATTAATCAGGTGAAGAGGGATGGGAGGTGGGATGATTTTGCAGACATTGGGAGGGGTGCAAGCAAATGGCTGTGGGTGAGAATGCGTGACCTGCAGGTAGTTTCCCCGAGTTAGAGTGGAGTGTAGGATAAGAGTGGCTGGAAAGGTAAGCAGGAGCCAGATCACGAAGGGCCTTGTGGGCAGTTGCATGTTAAGAACACAGACTTTGGAATCTAAGATACCTGTGTATCAACACTGGTTTTGCTGCTGAACTAGTTTTGTGACCTTGGGCAAGTCGCTTCCTTTCTAAGCTATTTACTCATCTGTAAAAGGGAAATATAGCCTACCTCCCAAGGTTGCTGTGAGAATTGAATGAGATGATATCTCTTACCCACTTGGCACTGGTAGATGGTAAACTCTAAACTGTAGCAGTTAGTATTGCCATGCTAAGAAATTTGGAGTTTATTTTGAAAGCACAGGGCTGGAGAGTGGGGCACTGAAGAATTTTGAACAGGGGTGTGACATCCTCTCATCTGTTTTAAATTACCCAGGCAGCAATGTGGTGATTACACTGAATAGGGCAGGACCAGCAGGGAGACCAGTCAGGGCACTGTTGCAGTGGTCCAGGTCACATGGGAGAGAGGCCTGAACCAAGGCAGTGGCTGTGGGGATGGGGAGGGGTGGGTGGAGTTGAGAGATAAAGGAAGAAGGATTTGCTGGACTGGTAACTGATTGGATGGCAAGGAGAGGAGGGAGCCAGGAATCAGGATATTGAGGTGGGGGGAGGGGATGAATCCTCTGTGGAAATAAGTAATAACCAAATTCTTTGCTTAGTGGTCCCTGGTTGGTTATGCCTGACCACCTGTGAGATTTTATTTGGAAGTCCAATTTACCCAAGTTCACTAATGGCTTCCTGCTCTCCTCTTTCTGTCTCCTGATCCCCCCACCTTTCTCCAGTGTAGGTAAAGCCCAATTGTGTGCTCAAGGGAGCATAACTAGATGCTGCTTTGTTACTGGGTAGACAGTATGCATCTCCATGGTCTAGGCAGCCTGTTCATTCGGTCTCAGTCCAGCCCCAGAATGATCACCTTTGGGATTTCCTCACACGTTCTTCATTCTGGTTACCCTCCTTTGAACTTGTTTCTGTTGGACAGTCTCTTGCAGTATGTGGTATAGAGAGGAGGTCCTCTTTCCTCCAGGAGTCTGACGGTGCAGAACAGGACTGTACTTTCCTTGTGGTAGCCTAAGGCCCTACCCTGCTTCATTGGGCTTTGTTGTAGACACATCTTGCTCTTGATACTGTTTTGATAGCCCGCCGGGCTCGGCCCTGCCCAGCGCGCTCCATGTGTGCTGGGGCAGCTTTCTTGCCAGTCTCCTCCTCCCTTACCCTAGACTTCACTAAGTTACAGCCATCAATTAAGGCTCCTCAGCTTTCTCTTCTGTTGTTTACAAACTTGTCTCCAGCTGACCCGATCACTTTACCTTTTATTTTAATTTGGTGAAAGAAATGTTGTTTGTTTTAAGGCTAATTCCTTTACTGTGCTGAGATCCCATCTCCTTTTCCTCAGGATCTAATGCCATCATCTGTTCTGTTTCTTTCCTGTTTAACCAACCCCTTTCATTTAAATATCCTCTGCTTACTCTCATTTTGGAAAAAAAATAAAACCAAACACCCTCCCATTAACCTCTGCTGTACCCCACCCATCACGCTGCCTCTTTCCAGCCGCATTTCTTGGACGAGTTGCCACATCTACTTCCTGAAGCCATCATTGGCTGGGATCCTGCTTCTGCCTCACTCTCCTCCCAAACTGCTCTCCCCAAAGTCATCAGAACTCGACATTGCTGGAACTCCTGAACACTTTTCGTTCCTTGTCTTTTTTTTTTTTTTTTTTTTTTGTGAGGAAGATCAGCCCTGAGCTAACATCTGAACATCTGCCAATCCTCCACTTTTTGCTGAGGAAGACTGGCCCTGGGCTAACATCAGTGCCCATTTTCCTCTACTTTATATGGGACGCTGCCACAGCATGGCTTGGCAAGCGCTGGGTCCGTGCGCGCCCGGGATCCGAACCTGCGGACCCCGGGCCGCTGAAGCAGAGCACGCGCACTTAACCGCTGTGCCTCTGGGCCGGCCCCTCATTCCTTGTCTTTTGAATTCTCAGCATGTCTGACATTGCTGGTCTTCCTTCCCTTATGAAAACCACCCCTGCTTTGTATTATCTTTGGCCATCTCCCCCTCAGTTTCCGTTGTAGGCTCTTTTCCTCCTTTTGTCCCTTGAGTGCTAGTTTTCTCCAAGGCTCTCCCTTCTACTCTGTGTTCTTCTCTCCCACGGCGCCAACTCTCATTTGTGTGCCAGAGACCTCTTCTCTGTATCTTGAGTCCAGATCTCTCCTGAGTGCCAGTCCTCAAACTCAGCTATCCAAAACTGAGCTCACCATCTTCCCTCCAAACCTGCGATTCTTTCTCCGTTCTTTGATCTCACTCATTCCCCTTCTGTCGTTTGGTCATTCCTGGGAGTCATCTTGGACATTTCACTCTCATACCATCCCTCCCTTTCTCCTTCCCAGCCCAGGCAGTCATCGGATTTATTCTCCTTCCTTGATATCGCCCGATACACTTTCTCCTCCATTTCTTCTCCTACTGCCTTAGTTCAGGCCCTTCTCACTTCTTGCCTGTATTCCTGCGCAGCCTCTGAGCTGGCTGCCCCACCTCAGCAGTCTGGCCCTCACTGGTGCTGGAGTGCCTTTTCTAAAATACAGATCTTTGCTAAAATATGAATCCATAGCTTTTCATAGAAGGCCTTTCATGATTCGGCTTTTGCCTAGTTTTCCAGTGTGGTTTCCAGCCATTCTGCCACATGCACCTTCCAGCAATACAGAACTATTTGTATTTTCTCAGACATACATGCTGTTTCCTTTGCTCATCGATTCAGTCATCAGCA